TTCCTGCAGCATTAGTTCTAGGTCAGGAATCTAAAAGCCTGAAAAATAAGAAAAAACATTAGCTGTTGATATGCTATAACATTAAATACTTAAAATACGATAGAGGTATAAAATATATTAGAAAACAGAGCATTGTAATATAGGCATTTTTTTAATATGTCTCCTAACAGCTGAATGTGTTGAAACTAAATCCTGAAGTCTGTACTTGGTTTCAGTGTGGGGTGTTTTTTCTGAGCAAGATTGGTGGATTACCCCCAGGATGTCAGTTTACTTCCCAGTATGTTTTTGACAGATGGTTGAATCAGTTCTTTCTGACATATACTTCTCTTCATTGGTAACTTTCCAAACTGTTTACAAATCTGGGATATTTTCCAATTCTTGCTGCCAGAAACACCTCTGTGTTCTCTGTTCTAGGAACTGAGCACCTACAGCTTTTAGTCACTTCATCTGAAGATGCATTAATTTAATACATGTGGGAGAAGCTTGTATGTGGAAATCTAAGTTCTGAGACTAATTCCCAGTATAAATATTGTGGCCTATTTGTATATAAATAAACTAATTTAAATGTAGATCATGATTAAAAGTATTAAATAAATACCTCCTTAGTGAAAATCCACCGATCTTCTTCCATTGCGTGGCTGAAAGATGAATATTCAATAAGTGCTCTATAAAACTCACTGGTTTCAGTAACAAAGCCCCACCCAGCTTGGTATGTATAGAAATTGGTAAACTTCTCAGGTCTGTCAACATGATCATCATTAAAGATAGTCTGAGACCAGGAATAATAACTGAGGCCAGTTATTGTTTAATCTATATCCACCTCTGGAAGAGAATTATACAGTAAAATTTACTACATATAGTTTGAAGAATGAATTATGCCCATTTTGTATGCTTTTATAAGGGGGAGAAAGCCACAAGAAGTCAGAGACCATTATCCATCATTCTTTTTGCATTTTCTTAAAATGTGCTTTCCAATTGTTGTTATTATTGAATTATAAATGGTTATTGCAATTACCAAACAAATATACAAGTCACTCTCAATTTATTTTTATACTGTGATTTTTAACATAGGAAAGAGTTTCTCCCTTTTCACCGTGGTCATTGACAAAAATATTTCGCATTACTGAGAGACTTGATACAATTTCTATTAAAGTGATGAAAATTGCTTACTGAGCTTAATAGGGATTTGC